GTTTCTTTGTTTGGTCCAAGGGACTCCAAAACTCCAAATTCACTATATTTCTGCTATTTGTGCATTTTCATGGAGATTATATACTAATACAAACAAACATAAAACAAAACCAAAGCAAAAGAGAGTTTCAAACTTCAATAAGCAAATGCCCACCTGCCACCTTCCATTTACCGACCTCTCTTTGCAATCCTTGTTGACAATTTTCTCTTTTCTTCTAACTTTCCGTTATTTAAAGAGTCTATATCATTCTTTATTGTCTTTGTGGGCCTCCCAAAGTTCTATTTTAATATTTCTTCTTTGATACAAAGATAGCTTTCTAGTCCTCCACTACCCAAACACAAACAACTTTACCATTTATATAGCCCTGCTCCTTCACAATCCCACAAACCCATTTCAAATTCTCTTTCTTTCCCTTATATCATCTCAAATTCTTTTCCCTGTTCTTGGCCATTATCTTGAGGAAAATGGGGAATTGTTTGGCTCCTTGTTCTTGCCATGGAGCTTTCAAAGCAAAGTCCAAGAAAGTTTTGCAGATAGTAAAGATGGATGGAAAGATATTAGAGTTCAAGACGCCAGCTCTTGTCAGAGACGTCTTGGTGAATTTCTCCAGCATAGGGATTGGTTTGTCAAAGTCAGCTTTGGAGCGTCTCCCACCTGACTGTGAGTTAAAGTTGGGCAAAGTTTACTACTTTCTTCCACCATCATCATCAGGTTCCACCGAGGCTTCCACGGCAAAAGAACATAACTCATCTATGGCCGATACCAGAGCAGTTAAGAGGATTAAAGTTTTAATAACAAAGCAGCAGCTGCAACAATTATTGTCAAAGCAACTAACAATGGAGGAGATTCTATCCAGTCAAAAGAAAAATAGTTGTTATATTATAGATGAATCCACGAATTGGAAGCCGAAACTTGAATCGATACCGGAAGGAATAGAGTGATTGTATGTTCTTGTAATTAAATTTTCAAGAAAAAAAAGTAGTTCTTATTTCTGATTACTGCAAACTTACATAGAACTCATATACAAAACAAAAAGCAGGGGACACAAAAACAGAGTATTTACTTAATTTCTACATCAATGACCTTTTTCTCTACTTTTCCCTTTGGAATGGAGATGAACAGAACTCCATTCTTGAGCTCTGCTTTGACCTTGTCTTTCTCACAGTTATCTGGGAGTTGAAGACGGGTGTCATACGAACTAAAGCTTCTGCTATTCCACGAATCATCCCCACTTTCTTCCTTCTTGTGCTCTCCTTTGATTACGAGCACGTCGTCCTCCACAGATACCTTCACATCATCCTTGGAGAGTCCTGGCATGTCAAACCGCATCTTAATTTCATGTTCATCATCATTGATATCCCAAGGTGCACGAACCTCGCCAGCACTCCTGCTTCGACCAGGGTATGTCATGGAATCCTCAAATAGCCTGTCCATGGTGTCTAGCATTTGACGCATTGTCCTCATCGGAGACAATGGATCTAACAAACCTGTAATCCCAAGTATCATATTAGAAACAAATGGAAAAGAAAACGATCCCAATTCCTAATCATAGAGAAACAGGGGAAGAACAGAGACTAAAACAGAGCAACTATAAGACTTACCAAAAGGAGAGATATCAACAGCCCATCGTTTAGGTCTCCTTTCAACAGCAGTCCCTTGGTTACCTTTATTAACTTGCACATCCACTGAAGTATCCTTGTTATCTCCACCTGAACCTTGCTGAGCTCTCACAACAGAGAGCCGATGAGACCTGGTGCTGGAAGAGCTCAAAGATGGAAAGGATACAGCACATGGCACAATAGCTTTAATGCGACCTGACCTGGCCTTGTTGAAGAGTAAGGGAGAAGATGAGCAAGACAATGTTGAAGCCATAGCTAGAGTTGGAAACTAAAGCGTTGCTTGCTTGGTGAAAGCCTTTGAAGTTTCTATATGAACTCAACTGATGAAGAAGGGTTATGAGATGGTGAATATATAGGGAAAGAGTCAGGCATTAGAGAAGTAAGAAGAGAGGAGGAGAAGGTTGGAGAGTAATCCTGAAGGGTTTAGTGAAAGCATGAAAATTCTGGAGACAACTTTTGATTGTGATGGTCATCATACCGAACAAACAGGGGATCTGTTCTGTAAGCTTCGGGAAAGATCCATTATTTGCATCTTTAGGGGGTAGAATTAGAAAGGGATAATTCTAGTTAGACCCATACCCATTTTGTTGTTTTCTCAGATAAGGTAAGCCATTGCCTTTTGTTTTCTTCTTTCAAAAATAGCTTCAGACCTAATAGTTCTTCATGGTCCAAGTCTAAGAGTTTGGGACCTTGGGTTAGGGAATTGCTTGTAATTGTAACTTGCCCCTTTCCTTGCAATTTACTTTATTTAAAAAAAAAAAAATTAAGCAGGGGAAATTCTTGACTTGTGGATCTCACAAACTTCTTTTTCCCCTCATATGGAAGGACTTAACTCTTTTCACAAGTAATGCCGACTCCTTTTTCAGACTTTAAGTTGCATGGAAACAATTATTTCTCATTTTTTACTTTACCTTATTTCTTTATTTTCAAATCCAATATCTTTTGTTTTTATTAAATAGAGATTACCACTTATAAGTACTTATGTCTTCATGGCCATGAGTCAAAGCTGCTCTAGAGTTTTTCTTTTTTTCTTTTTTTTGGTATATCTAAAGATGAGTTATATAAAAGAGATAAATCTCTCCTTCTCTCGAATCTCTCTCAAATTGACTTAAGATTTAAAATTTAAAATTTAAAATTCTTAATCAGTTAAATTATCCCTTTAGAAGCAACGCTACTCTAGAGTTACAAGCAAGATTTGTGGATGAAACTTAGGGCCTATTTGTAAAATGAAAAGTAAACGTCTTTATTTGTATATTTCCTCATATATGCTGATGGTTTGAGATATGGGTTTGAGTTATGTCTGGGCCTTTGGTTCCATTTTTATGGGCCCGGTCCAGATTGTTAAATAAATGAAAAGGCTACCTTTATTCTTGGGTCCAAGATGCGTATTTTGGTACCTAATTGGCGTTAAGTTCTTTGGGTAAGCCGAAATTCCATTTATTTTCTCCGAAAAGGTTTAAAATGGTAATGGGGTTCCTCAAGCCCAACCTTGGAAAATAAGCCTTACCCAAAAAAGGCAGAAAATAAAGGAAAAAGGAGAATGAAAAATGTAAGGCACTGTTTTGAAGGTTTTGAGCGAGCTAATAGGTGTTGGGCTTAATTAATTAAATATAAGTGTTTGAATATATATATATATATATATGGTTTATCGCTAGAAGTCAACTTACAGTTGTTACAATTTTTTTTTTTTTTTTT